AGAACTATTTTGAGCATTACATATCTCCTCCATAGATGTCTGTGCTAGCCATGGGCCTATGGGCCCCATATGCAGATTTCATGTCCTCCAAATTTAGTTTATGAATCAGGAGTACGATGTACAATTTCTTCCTATAGCACAAGCAAAATGAACATCTGTTCACTTTTTGCCATGTAGGTTTATATCTGTGTGGGTGGGTGTGAACAGAGCTCTTGATGTGTAATAGTCCTCCCATCTGCACACCAGGTGGCACTGCATAGTTAATCAGAAGATAATAACAGGCATGAGGAGATTACTTACTTTTTGGGAAAGAGAGTAAATCAATCTCACAGAGATTTTTTTAAAACAAGGTACATTAATGCTTGCACTTTAAATTTCTTTTTTTTTTTTTTTTTGGTGTGTAATTTCCAATCAATTACATGATCTTATTATATCATTGCTTGAATGTTATGTTAATTAAATATGAATGACTGCAATTACCACAAAGGTTCATTCCACAAGGAATTTCATTTTTTTTTCTTTTTTTTTTTTTTTTGATGTACAGTTTTAACCCTTGTAAGCAGAATATACTATTTAGAATACATTCAAACAACAATATGCCTAGATTTACTTGGTACACTCACCTAACCCACCATCTCACAGCATTTAATAGACTTCTGAATACCCATATACAATAAAACTAACTTCAAAGCAATTCGGCAGCAAAAGATGGAGGAATAAACAAGCAAAGCTTCATTACTCAATGAGAAGTTAAGTAGAAAGTTAGTGCTGCAAGTTTAAGTTTACAAACATTGCAGTTGAAGTGTTTAAGCAATTTCTGGGATTGAGGGCTTTAGATTTTTCTTAGAAGTTTACCAAATAAAACAATATTTGAGGATATATTTTTATCTGATATTCCCCAAGGTCAAGGTAAATGTTATATAAAACAGCTATGTTATGATAAAATATTAGCGATTAAGGCTAGAGAATTTTGTAGAAGTCTGCAGAAAATACGTTTATAGTGAGAGCATTTCCATGTAGTCATTTGAATGTCACATAAAAATGTCCTTTAACTATTTAGTTCATTCATTTTTGTTCAATTAAGTAGTTCTATAAAAAAACCTGTTATGTATTTTCTCTTTCAAAAAGGATTTGAAATGCTTTGTGGAGTCTTAAAAGAATAACAGAATCCTGTTTTCCAAAGAATGCAGCTGAACTTCTAGAAGGATGACTAATAAAAGCCTGGTATTTCTGCATTTGCTCTGATAGCCATGAGAGACACAGACACGTGTTTTGTTTTGAATTTTTTTATTGGTAAAAATCATATTCCACTCTGAAAATCCATGAAGAGACACAGTAACACAAAGCGTTCAGACTGCTCTGTTCCCCACAGGATACCCTTGGCTGCTTCCGCTGCTGTCTCTGAGGACCACGTGCTCTCTCCTCGAGCCCCTCACCCCTTCATTGATTTCTCCTTTTGCTCTCAGCATGCTTATTCTCTGTTGCCCTGAGTCTCTACGGTGTTTACAGAAGGCAGCAACTGATGCAAGACTTTTTTTTTTTAAAGCAAAATTTTCAAACTGATTTGTCAGTTCAGTCACAAATTCTCCACAAACCCTTATCAAAAAGCAGAGCTGATTCAAGGCAGAGTACATTGAGTAATCTTTCAAATCAGGATAGGATAGGATTTTTTTTCCTATGCTTACTTTTAGAGGTTGGTTTTAAAACTTTGAAAGTTTAATTGGGAGACATAATTCATATTAATTAATGTTTGTGACTAAAAAACCCAGAAGTTTTGTAGCTGGAAGAGAATTGGATTTCTAAGATGAAAACTTAAATGAATAATTCTTAATGTCTAATTCTTAATTAGCATTTTTAACTGCTCAATGAAATAAGACTATGTTTAGAAATTGCACCTACCTAAATGACAGTGAAAAAAAGAACTAAAAAAATACAGTAGCAACTCCAAGAATATTGTTCCTCCCATTGTTTAGGTGCTACCTTTTGTTCCTTTAAAAATTATCACACATGCCATTGCCTATTATTAATTTTGATGTAAGAAGCTGAGATTCATGGACTATCCCTTAATACTTATGTTAGCTGTAAGCTGAAATTGTGACTGCTGGAGAAAACCAGAAGCATGGTGTATCTGTTACATTGCCATTGCCCAGCTGGATCCTTACTGCTTACCCAGGTAACTATGAAAGCTTTTCCTAGGATTTAGTCATTCCTAGCTCAACATATGCCTTCATAACCCCAAACTTCACATCAGTCTTCACAACCCAATTGGGAAAGGTAAGATGGGGGTAAGGTGTGACTCACACTGAGACCCCAGAGGTTGTCAAATGTTGGTGACACATACTGGCCACCTGATTGCTTTCAAGTCTAGTACAAGGTATTTTTCTCAACTTTGAGCCAGAGACTACATATACCAAACCTACTGGCTGGAGAGCATCTTGCCCCTTAAGATAAATCATTGTAGCCTCAATGCTTCAGTAAGAAAAGGATTGAGGCAAAGCACACTCTTTTGTTATTATTCATTTCAAGTAAGTCTGTTAACCTGTATCCTTTAGTGAACTCATGTCAGAAACTCAGCAAACTGCTGATCAGAGCACACTTTTAACATCTGTCCAAACAGCTCTCACAAAAAGCCTTTGCTATTCATTTTTCTTCAATATGGTCACTCGCTAGAATGCTCAAACCTCAGTCACTATGTTTTACCATCGACAGTGGAGGGCACTTTCCCTACCACACACTATTCCCACAGGCAACAGATTTTCCCTGACGCATGACTGTGTGAAAAATAGTTTTCAAAGTTCTCTTTGCAACTCTACCTGCCCTCAAGTAGCTGGTGATTTACAAGTGATCTTCTGTTTCATTAATCACACATAGACTTTTGTACAATCCCAACTGAGCAAATCTTAAATTACATCTTATTTGCAAGACTAAAGGTGTGCTCTTCAAAAATCGCACTGCTGCAAACAAGCCCTCTCACACTGTACTCTCATCCTATCACGGATTTCATTTTCTTTTACGCACTCATTATTTATTTTTTCCACTAACAGGGAAAATTTAAAACTACCATATTTCTTTTCCATCAAGGTACAAATTCATTCTGAAGCAAATTACAACAAAAAATAAATCTTCTGTTTTATGTAAGTAGCTCCATAATTATTTTACCCCTATGACTCAGAGTAATGTTCAAATGTGGTATTTCATTGAATATGTTTGTTCAGTAGACAAAGAACACAAAAAGAAATGCAGTTCAGACTCATTATGGAGAAATGGCTGCTGCTGAGAGCTTATAAATGCTCTATTGCATTAATATCTTCAACTCCACAAATACACAACCCCTCAGCATGCCCTCCCCCTCTCTCACTACCTCTATGCAAGGCCACAAGTCCAGTGGCTTACACAGTACTGCAAAAATCAGATGACAGGCAGACAAGGGGTACAGAAAGGGCATCATAAATGCAAGGTAGTGTCCAATAACAAAACTTTGTAGGTACACATAATCCTCCATTAGCATTTATACCCTCTGTTTCCTAGTGCAATCAATGAACACATGCTTTAAGGAGAATTGTGCTTCAGATACCTTCTCTTGTTTATTAAAATTCTGCCTGTGTCCCTTTACCTAGTATCTGTATGGCAAAATGTCTGTAGGTGTATATATATATAAAAATCTATTTCTAACCAAAAATATTTTATATTAGCATAGCTTTATTAAGGTCAGAAAATAAACCCAGATACATAAACCAAACACTCCAATTCTATGTGAAGTGCTCAGTGGTCATTTCTGCTGACACTAAACTGAACTGTTATTCTAAGCTTCTGAGTCAGAAATGCAGAGGAATGATGCTGATGTTAAAAAAATGACTGAGAATTTTTTCCTAAGTGCTAGACTCACAGAAAACAAATGCTTATGAATTAATTCCTCATTGGTGAAATTTCACAATGTGGTTTGAAAGACACAGATGAAAAAAATAAAAAATATAAGTTGCACCATTTTCCTCGTATACAATTACATCAAAATATGATACATCAGAATTCCTACACATGGAAGTTCTCTAACAATGTGAGGATTTAGGATTACATAAATCACAACACTCTGTGCTATCATTACACGACACAATAGACCTGCAAAGCTTATTATACTGCATAACCAGATGGTAAACAACAGTTGTCGTTGTACTAAGAATTACATCTCTGTAATCAATAATAGGAAGGAGGAACAGTTGGACAACTTGTTTCCTATTATGTTCACTTAGGCAACGTCTAGATCAATAAAGAGCATTAAGCCTCATACCAACTGTAGACAATGCCTGCTCAACATGCCTATCATATGGCAGCAATGGGTCCAGCTGTACTTCAAAATAATTGTAAATGGATAATAATTCTAATCTAACATTAAAAAGAAGTGATGATTCAAACAGCAGAGAGGCGCAGGACTTCTCTAATACATGATAAAAGACAGACCCATGATGCCAGTTTTCTACAAAACAAAATCAGCTTATTTTGTTAACCCACTCCATAAGTACATTTCACTACAGCCTAGCTGAAGGATGTTACACATTTTATATGGATGAAAGAAAAAAAGCAACCAAGCATGATATCACTGGCTTACATATAGACTCAGTAATTGTGTGGGTGTAGTAAGCTGTTCGCAAAAATTGAAAACTATACTTGTGTATCGCTCTAGGCCAATATGGCAATTAATTACAAGCAAATTTTTAGTTCATCCATTTTTAACTATCTAAACAAACAATAAATCAACCCATTTGGCTACATTCACATATTACTTAAAGATCTGTAATATAAATCTGAAACTTTTAGTAATCCTCTTAAGGCTACTCATTTTAGCTTCCAGATCTTAAATTTTTTCTTATATTCCATACTTCCACAATTCACCAAATTAAAGCTTTCTCCCACCATGTTATTAACAAAGATACAAATTCCAGTTTATTCCTAGGCAATTCTTCAATTTCAGTATGACAAAATATGGGACCATGAGCTCTTCTTACCTATTCCAATAAAGACTGCTTTAAAGCCATCTTCTTTCAGTGTACGGAGTGTCATTCCATCCACTGCAAGGCCTTTCCTAAAAATTATCTGAAAGAATTAAAAATTGCTTGGTAAAAATTGCAATTATAATGAAGCAGCACATTCTGCATGGTAAACTAACAAAGGTTTTCAAAATTATTAATGATATAAGTTTTGATTTAGACTTGCAATTGTTAATTCTAATTTAGACAAGAAATAGTGCCCACAGTCCAGTAATTGGTGTTCATTTATTGAAAGAAATAACTCATAGCAATCAAAACACACCTATAATCTGTACTTGTTTCTGATCAATTACTTTTTGATTCCAGAAGCAAAAGGTGCAATTTTATTTTTTTTTAATAGCCATTCTCCATGATCAGTCCTGCTCTGAGCAACCACTGCCCAGGCTGAGCCCCTAGAGGAGCTGTAGGTGTGGGAAAGGGAACGGTGTTCTCTGCATGCTCAGGAAACCTGATGCAGTCCCTGTGCAGAGGTCATGCAACTGGAGATACACACACCTTTTGTTCATCCCTCCTAACCCCAAGCCCTTTGAGCGCAAAAAGTGTACATGATTCCTCTTCTGATATTTCATACTTCTTGACATAGGTATATGTGTGTTTTTATCTCCACATCTTAGACTCTCTGAACCTGAATGTTTTCCCTCAGGTTTTTTATATCACATGTGATTTTACTTCACAAAATGTAGTGCTGTTGTGTAAGCTCTCTACTTTGTGATCTTAACAGTTTAGCCTTCAAGTCACTGTGAATTTTGTTTGTTATTCAATCTGCTTATATTTCATTTAGTACACTTTTCAGGTTGGTGGGGGAAAAAAGGCAGAAATACAATTTACACTACTTAAAACATTGACTTTCTTTGTCTTTGGAGATTTAGTGTAAATTTTATCAGAGGTGAAAAGCCATGTACTATTGCAATCCTTAAAACAATACAGACTCCATCCTCACTTGCAACAAAAGACACTCCATAAATTGTTGTTACATTTTTTTATCCTGTTGTGTACATATGTGATGAAAACCTAGATTATGAAAACATAATGAAGGAATTTAAATAGCAATACTATTGTATGTGAGGATTCATAATACTTCTAGGGCCTACCTCAGTCATTGTTATCTAGCTGATTAATTCTTACTAATTTCAGTGGAATTACTTGAATAAACAGCACTACTGAGCATTTACACAACCCAGCATCTTTCACCACAGATTTTAAATGCTTTAAGTAAACACCAGAAAATATTTCCATCTTAAAGAGGTTCAAAGCTAAGGTACTTATTTAACCAGCTTGCCAAAGGGTCAATTGCAAACCAATGGCAGAGTTTTGAAACAAATTTACATTGAGATTCTCTGCTGCACTCCAGAACCACAGAGGACTTACAGGTGAGGATGACATGGTGGCTCTATCACCATATCTCCATCTCGGTTCTAGAGACTTTGTCATAACAGAGAGCCCTGGGAACTGAGGCTACAAAGGATTCCCAGCAGTCTATGCCCAGCAATTTTGTCTAAAGGTGTCTCAGTGCTCTGCTTAACACCATCCCTAACTAAACCTCCATTCTGTCAGTCTTTTCAAGGGTTGCAAAGAGAACTTTAAAGTAAAAAACCAGAACTGCAGCACTTTAAAACTTATCTTGCATCTTACTAGCATTTTTATAAAACCCAGGCAGGATAATGTTCTCACTCAGGTCTTGTGACAACAGTCTACTTCTTGTACAAAAAGAATCAACATGAAAGAATTCAATGCAAGAATTTCTTGTTTCATGGAAGGCTTTAGTGTGTTAAACATAAAATATCCCTCCTGGTGCTCAAAAATTTGATCCAGTGGTACATTCTAAGTTTGTAACTTCTATTAAAATGTGCAACAATTGTAAATACTATCTAAATCTTCAGCTCAAGTCCTAAATTACAACAAATCGCTGTTCCCATTATCTATAAACAACACACATTTATTTAACAGAATAATGCATAACTATTGCTTTCCAAGAAGTTGAATAGACTGCTATTGTTTATAACAGATGATCATGTTAACACTTTAATTTGATGCATTTTATTATAAAATTAACTTGGATGCAAGACTGTATGATAAACCATTAAGAAAAAAAACGCAGGGAGAAGGAACAAAAGAAGTATCAAATATGAATGGTTTAAGTAGTGCCAAACTTGCATGAAAAAAACTTGATTAAAAAAAATCAAATCATTCCAATAGCTACATTGAACCCCTAAAGCAATTTAGGAATTTGTTTCTTACAGACAATTAATCACATGCAGGCATTCCAGATGAGAACTATTGATTGCCCTTTTCCAAACTAGTGGCATTCAGACAGGAGACAGACAAATGCCCTGAGCAAGAGGAAGCATCTTCCTGCCTCTGTCTAGCATAGCTTTTAATCGTTCTTTACTAATGTGCATGACATTTTGCTGTTAATCTTTGGCAGAGTTCTTGTTCTTTTTTTTTCTTTGAGCTATACATAGGCAGGATATATTTTTCATTACCTTCACTCCAAGATCCTTCATAAGCTCGGCTTCAAAATTCACTACATCATATGGCAAACGGAACTGGGGGATTTCAGACATACTAAAACAAATAAAAATGCCTGTAACTGTTAGGAAAATATTATTTTTAAATTTGTTATTATTATTTGCTAAAATACTTATATTATACCTTAGTTAATTTTGACATATGTGAATGGAAATGTGCTGAAATGTGACTCTTGACTTTTAATTGTTAGAGTGACAAAAAAGCATTATTCATCCAATGCTAAAAATATAAGCCAGAAAGGCAGTATACCTTGAGGCCAACACTGCCCACTCTTGTAGGTGACTAATCAATATATGTTATGTTTGAGTTCTAAAGGACTTTAGCTCCATTCCTTTTGTTCACCAGAATACGTAACACTAAGCTTAGGATACCCATTTAAAAAAAGACCTCGTGGCTACTGAAAGCAAAGTGACATAGCAATCTTTCATTAAGATATCCAATATGAGTATCAAATTTCCCATACAATTTTTTAAAAGTGGTACATATGCTATTTTGAGCTAGAGTATTTAAAACTGTGCCTCCATTTCTACTTCATAAATTTTTAATTATTTTTCAGGATGGACAAATACTTTATCAGGTGTTGACTTCATTACTGTTTTTCGACTTAATGTTTATTAACATTTTTTCCTCCTGGGGAAGATTAGGAATGACATCTTCAAGTTCCCAGAATAACAGAAGGGGAAAACTGCAGTGCCAGTATAGAATCTCAGTTTGTATCTACTGATACAAATCTTATATATATATATATATATATATATATATATATATATATATATATATATATATACACTTATCTCTAGTGAAATGAAATGTATATATGCCAGTTTGAAAGTCCTATTGCAAAACATGTTGCACATAATTACAGTGAAGTTAAATTTTAGATACTTTTGTTCAATAAAGATGAAAAACTAAATATGCAGAAAAGTAAAGGCTTCTCCCCAGACACTTCTAAGCTTCAAACGGTCTAATCTGTTTTCAAATTAATGAATCTGTAATATCCATAACAAAGCAGAGGCACAAGAGATTCATTGCAGCTTATTTTACATATTGATAGTGACCATACCATCTTCAGCATCTAACTTGGACAGGCCAGAAGAGTTTTATTTCTTTTAAGTTGCATCAACTTTAATTATATTGATAAGAAACTGGTGTTCTTCCTTACTTCTAATACTGCCCTTTTTACACCTTTCTTGACCAGTATGCAATGAGAAGTGTTGTAAATATCAGATATAATGAATGTGTCAATACAACTTTCACAAGTCATGCTAAATAAAGGTGTCTGAGGCAGAAACTAATGTATCAATATGATTCTGCAACAGAGATTCAATAAAGAAATCTAATCAAAAAAAGGAGAGTTCTATTTTCCAGGCCACCTATGTATTTGTTGGAGCCCTGACGTTTCCACAACATGCTCCCAGAACACAACTGGCTGTGTTACATTGCTGTCAGAATCTGAAAACACTTTTTTTTTTGCTCTTATTAAACACTTAGTTTTATGCTGTGAGGTATACCCACATGTATGCTCATTAACTATGAAAATAGGCTTTTTATGGAAGTCAACTATACATCAATAATTCTGATGCAATTTCTTTCAGCAGCAGCAAATAGTCTCTGACTCTGCAATGGAGAGACAGAGGGGAAGAGGAGAAGGGGCAGAGATGGAGGAGGAACACAGTGGATGCAAAGTGTCCCACAAATTCACATCAACCTCAAATTTGACCCAAGTCAGAGGTGCTTGGACAGGTGCTTGGTGTTTCTTAGTGACCTCAAATTACTCCTGCTCAAGGGACAACTCTTTGGCGTAGTGAAAGTATTTTGGTACATTGTAAAGCAGTGGCATGGATAGGAGCCAAAGAGCAAAGCCTGTTCATGGTCTCTAAGCAAGAGCACAGTGTGCTCGTGCCTACTCTACTATAAAGCATAAATTTTACACAAGTGGTGAAATTTTCATATTTATGGGCAGGAAAACCTGCCCATAAATATGAAAAATCCAAACATATTCAGAGAAGCACAGATTTATGTTACATTTAAATATCCCACCACAGGAATTGCAATCATTCAACACCTTTCTAGCATCAAAATATTATGAAAATTAGCTATGATGCAAGAAACATCCTAATTAAAAACAATTGGAAAAAACTTTAAGAAGACAAAAACACTGCCATAATAAACAGCTCATTCCAAATACAAAAATTGATTTCGTCTTCTTAGTAATTTGCAATAGTTTATGAAGCCTTTAAAATACACCCATCAATAACCTAAATTTGTTAAAAGATATGCTGCAAAGACTTAGAAATGCAATAATGGATGACTTCTGACACAAGCCAGCCCCCCTACTGTTTCAAGATTAAAATAAGGACAAAAGGAATTGATGTCCTTAAACCACACATGAGCATTTCTACAGTGAATGGAAGTAAAATTTGACCTAGATTGATACATGTAAAGACTCAAAATAAAGAAATACATTTTAAAATACACTCCTCGACCATTAAGGATACTAACACAACAGGCAAAACTATGTGTAAGGCGTTTGGCATTAGGGGAAACAACAGGCAAAACACTATTTTAAATTCAAGTTAAACCATGAAGAACTTAAGATCACACTGCTTCAAATACACAAGCACGTACTAAGCAACTGTAGCATTGTACCACAGCACATTGTCCCTGAAGCATCTGCAGGAAGTCCTGCACTGTATTGCCAAGTCCAACCTGTTACCAAAAAGAGCCTTTTTGTTAAAAACCTCTTATTAATTCTGACTATTTTACAGCAACAGACTGATTTTCATCTGCTATTTATGATAACACGTGCTATTGAACAGGTAAATAGGTATTTCACATACTAAATTTGCAATCCCCTATGGTAACTAGTTCAAGTAAAAGAGCTTCACAGTTAAATGCCTATGGATTAACACCTTGGTAATTAGGTAGAATAATTCTGAACCTCACTGGGAAAAATGCAAGTAATCAGTTCAACTTTTCCAAAACAGATTCTCTTCTTGCAGAGCACTGAATAAGTATTTGACATTATGGCATTATGGATCAATTTCATTAACCGTGTCAACTCTATTGATCCCAGTGATGCTGCATTAAGAAATGTAAGTGCATCACCCTTCTTTGTCTCTCTGTTTCATTACAATTTTTATTTTTTTAAACACATTGTGTGAGGGCATTTGGTACTCTTACACATCTTACATTGTAGAATTTAATTTTGATTCAGAATGGCTTGGAATCCACTAGTCAGTGTCTGAATTATCTCATAAACAGGGATTCCAACAAAGCTACTAGATTTGACCACAGCCAGTACTGCAATGGCAAAAATTAATTTTCTAGTGTACTTGCAAATACTAGCCAAGGGTTTACCATACAGGAAAACTGCAAATGCACCTTCCTTTTTGTATTTGTAATTTTTTGAAAGTTGAAGTGCAGAGGGTTTATTTCACCCATATGCCATGGTCTGCTAAAGCTGCATCCACTGATGGCTGATTGCCACTGTCACCTTTATTTGCACAAGGTAGTCCAGCAAAGCATGCTAAACCTAAAACTCTCCCTCAAATTACTATCTGTCTAAAGAATTTTAAACTTTCTTTCACTAGGGCTACAGGTATTTCATCTTGTTTTAGAAGTTCTGGATAAGGGAAATGCTTTCTGACAATTTTCTAATATGTTAATTTGATAATAACAATTGCACCCCAGAATTTAACAGGTCATACAAAGAGAATATAGGAGACAGCCACCAGATATTCAGTTAAACTTGCCTGGAACTGTTCCTCTTTTAACATGAATGATCAATTATTCAAATAAAAAGTGACTTTTAGAGATTTGAAGTCTTCTATTCTCTTCCTTGCTAAAAGTCAAGCTATCACATATAAACTATGTATGTACAACAGTTTTCGCTATGCTTTCTACAATAATTGGAAACAGTGCTTTGTTGTCATTGTTTCATTACCTTAAGCCCCCAAGGTACTCCTGCTTTTCAAATATGGTGATGTTTGAATAGCCCAGTCGAGCCAAAAAGGAAGCACAACTTAAACTTGCAGGTCCTGCACCAAGAAGAGCTATCTTCACCTGATATGCTTCAGGCATATCTTCTAGAGAAGGTAAGGAAGGGTTTCTGATCTGAGGAATATTCATGGCTTTGAAAACCTGAAAAGCAATACAATCAACATATTAAACACTTTACATTCCCTCCTTAAATTTTATTATGACTGACATGATGGAAGTTTCTGCTAGTGCTGTCACATAGCTGATATATTATAGTAAGCTCACAACGTTTTGGAGGTTTCCAAATGACGTGATCTGTGCATTTGTGAGGGATGTTGTATTAGCAAGGTTTGGTCCTTCTATGGGCCTTTTTGTTTTAAAAATCTCTGAAGTCAGATTTTTCACTACTGTAACTTTTACAGAGAAGACAGATCCAGACTACCAGTAACAGAATAAGAATGCAAAGTCAGCCAGATGGCAGAGAATCTCTGCAATGCCAAAAAATTTCCCTGCAAACAAATTATTCTAACTAGTAGAAAAATACCTCTGCAAGTACTGCAAAGGATTATCGTGCCTGTAAAGGGGCTTTGCTTCCTCAAGAGACAACCTGAATGATCCTGGAAAAACCACTTATAGCTTGAATTTTAGAGGTGGTATATGACAAACTTTAGATGGGTTTGAAATGTTTTTTAGGAACAACACTTAGTCTTCAGTGCTATATTTTCATTGGTAATCCATGCTTCAGATGCTTTCTCTTAGATAATTTTTATAGGACTTTATTTCAGTTTCTTACCTATCTTATTAATTTATTGTCTACTCTTTAAATGGGTTTCCAAAAACCATAGACACACCTGAAAGTTAGACTCTTCTCCCTATGCCCCAATTATTCATTCACCTCCATAATGGTGATGATCTGCTCCAACCTGTCCTGACTATTAAAAATATTTAGGAACTATCTCTGCTCACTGTTATGCATTTCTACAGAACCCGGTGGGCCGCTAACCTGGTTGTAATGTCACACAAGTTCCTAGATTTGCATTAAATCAGTTCTATACTCAGATATACAGATAAGAGGCGAAGGCAGAAAATATTCTGCATTGCCCAAACTAGATTTCATTCTCCTCTGCAATTACATAAATTGTAGGGAAATTAATTGAGTCTCTATCTTGTATGATCTACAAAAGGGAAAATAATAGACTTACAGCCTTAGAGGCTATTAAACATTAGAAGCATGGAAGAACACAGGTACATCTTTTTACTTTAGGCATTAGGAGAAAAATGTTTAACCCAAGCAGTATATAACTGTAGCAGACAAAAGAATTCCAGAGTGCATTGCATGGGGATTCTCAGTCTTATCACACTCTCAGTGTAGCATCTCAAGAACTACCAGGAGACCACACTGTTCCCCAACTATTTCACTGCAGACCTGTGTTCCCTAAGTACTAACTAGTACTCTAAAATACATACGCTGACATTTTTCTTAATAAATATCATATTTAAACTATTTAGAAGCTTACCAACAGATTTTACTTTCCTTAGAACTCAAGAAGCAAAGGGTTTTCACATTAAACTTGGGCAATTCCACTCATGATTAGAATTTTTCATTTATATATTGAATCAATGTTCATTTTCTTCATATGCACTTGAGCACTCATGCTAGGTAAACCAATGATTAGTTCCTTCCCTCTCTAAAATTTCTGTGTCAAACTCCCCCAGTCTTTGTAAATTGACACAGCGGTTTAACAAACTGCATGAAGCAAGAGACAGATAATTGTTTTAAAGACAGAATCATTTAAACCTGACAATTCATACAATATGGGAAAGTTTAATGTGGTTATTAATGGATTTCACAGGCTGAAAAGCTCATATTGCACTGTGAAACTAGATTATGATAACCCAAATGCAATGATATTTCTAAAATGTCTGCTTTGTTATATTAATAAGAAATTGCTTGAATTATAGAAAATTTTCATTAGTCTCATATAGTTGTTTAAGAAGGCTATTCAGTAACAAAAATTATATAACTTGCATATTTAATGTGCATATTGAACACCCTGAATATGCATATGCTTAACAAATTTACTACCAAATTTACTTTATTGTTAACATAACTATTTTTATATGTATTATTGAATAGTCATACCCATCAAATAAATGTTACACCGAAGTTCCACACTACTGTAGTGCAGTGTTAAGCTTCAGAAACCAAGCACTCATGCAGAAAATCCTAGGATTTCAGGCTGAATGGTCAACTTTAATTCTGCCTATTTGCAAACAGGGTAAAACTGTCTTTATGCAGCACAGTCAGCTTGTGTGGCAGTATCTTGCCATCTGGAATTCAGTGGCAGTTTTGCATATTAAGGCTGGCAGGGTAACTGTGTGAAAATAGCAAACTGCTTTAATGCATTTCAAAAGATTTTTACTCACCTCATGCTGAAGTTTCCCTATACTGTAAGTCACTTAATTAAATATCACTGAATTCCTCTGTATAAATCCTTTGGTGGCTAGAGATGAGTAACTGGCAAGCAAGTGTTCTGTGGCACATTACATTCAACTATCCTTTCTGCTTCTAATCTCTTCAGACTATGTTCAGGATGCAGGTAAAATTGAATACTATTACCCTTCTTTCCACTTTTCTTTCAAAAACATTATTTCTTTCTTGTTTGGTGTTCGGATGGAGTTTTTCTTTTGTTTTGCAGGGCTATTTAACCAAGACCTATTCAGGAAAATGAGACCAAGTGATGAATTTTGAAGCAGAGTCTCTCAGTGAAAAGCCTCAGTCATCATCCTCATATCTACCTTTCCTTCTGGCTCTCATACACAGTCAAAGGAGATTAGATAGATTGATAACAGATGCGAATAACTTTAGGCATTTATTCCTAAACTTTTTGTCAAATACGACACAATTATCATTACTTCACTGTCTAGGGCCTATTCAAATTAAACCCACATTAATTCTATCCACTTCTTATGTCTTACGTCCATTAGAGTCCTCCAACAGGATATCCCAGCTTATAAAACATGGAGATTTAGTCCACAAGTGAGATCCAATTTGACCAAACCAAAACAGGCAATCTATTCTGCTAAGTTCCAACAACTGAAAAAAAATCCCCTCATGATTCACACGTTTGTAATATATCATAGTTCTCCTATTTGCATCACTTCATTGTGTGCAAAGGTGTGAGTGCACTTGCTCAGTGCTCTCTACAGTATGAAATTCAACAGTTTTTTGTAGTCTCTATTGTAAATAAAGCATGCTTTCACTGCAAAGGGGTCATGTTCCAAAATTGCATATAAAGAGCATAATTCCAAAATATATAAAAATAATGCAAAACATGAGTTCGCATTCAGGTTCCACAAAATGTCCCACTTGAACAAACTACAGTGGTTCCAATTGCTGAGCAACTGCTTCCAGTTTCAATTTCCTGCAAAGTTTTAGCCAAGTCATTTTAGCTGCTTTTGAGAATGCAGATAGGGAAAGGCTTCGTTCACTAAGGCATTGAGATACCAGTTACTGATATAGATATTAGAATCTAGCTGGGATTAATTTTAGTGTGAAATGTATCAGTATACACTGAATTGTTATCACATTTTACTAGTGCACAGACAGCAAAATACAGGCAATGAAATCAGGAACATTTAGAAACTGGTTTTACTAGTTTCACACTTTCCCACTGGTTTCCATGGATATTTCTCTGTAGGCTGGTTTACATTAATATGGGACAGCTGAATATTTAAAGACAAATACCATATTCTGCACATATTTTAATGCAAAATAAAGCAAATTGCATGTACAGTAACCTTCTTGAAGCTGTCAAATTACGTGATCACCCAATTAATTCAATTTAATTGCAGTGGATAGCATAGGATGTTACATGAAGCGTTTTTTCCACAGACATGTACTAGTTATGAAACCTTCTTGATCTTCCCTCCACAATTTAAGAGCTAAAGTTGCAATACTTCAAATTTTTATGGAAATAGGTGAGTGCTTACAAAACTAGGCCCCAAAACATCTTATTAAAGACTTTTTAAACCCCCATTATTCTAGTCCTAAGATATCCCATGGATCTAGAACAACGCAGAGTCCAAATCTCAACATTTCATGAATCCTACCACTAAATGGACTCAGCAACATTCATGCAAATGCCTTAAAAAACAAACAAAAAAAAAATGCTTACTATCTGTAAAAAAGCTTTGGGGAAGTTTATATAACTTGCCAAAATATCAGGAAATCTTTCAGCATTGGCCAGAGAAATCAGAAGTCCTCAGATTCATCCCCTGAACTATTGTAGAAAACAAATCTGTATTGTAGAAACAACACCATCCCCTTCAGCCAAGCCCGAAATTTTATTTATTATTATTATTGTGGATTTCATTATTACTTAAAATATGTAATTACCTAAAGATGTATTAAAATTAATACTCACAAATAAGGGCTTTTTCTGTTTGTCCTGATGTCTTAGCTCTCCAGAACAACCCTTCTCTTGCAGATGCAGCTCGTGTATCCATGCCCAGCCTGGTATCTCAAGGCCATCCTACTGTAGGAATGGCAGCCCCATGAGAACCACCTTCTCACAGCTGCACTACAGACTGATCAGAGCTATCAATTTGCAACTCAAAGAGGAACCTAAGCCCAAGGGCACAGTGTGCCACTCCTTGGCAAGCCCTCAGGTAAAACATTTCTCCCTTGACTGTGGTGGGCTGGGGGAGAAGGGAGGTTCAGCACTCAGGTTCCCTCCAGAACACTCCTTCCAGCCCAGGTACTCTGCTGAGCTGTCCCTAGGTGAGCAGAAGGTAAGCTCATATAATCCCTCTTTTCAGAAAAACACGTATCAAATTTCCTTTTCCAATTTCTTTCTGCTGCAGCAGCAGTCAGAATGTATCTCCAAAGAGGAACAAATCACCACAACTGTAACTGGCACAAGAGCCACAGTACTAAATGATCTAGTGTTTATATCTAGTATGCAGAGATTAAAATAATACATTTTCTATTCAGCTTGTGCTGCACCATTCAGAATGATTAAACAGAAACAGAAGAGAACCTTTAGATTCAATAAAGTCTATCCAAAAACATTTATCATTTGAGGTTTCCTTACTAATATGACAGCAGATAAGTTAATAGACCTCACTTCCTTTTCACTACAAGCTTGCAAACTTGTACTTGAGTAACCAGTGATTTTAGTTCATTTTGGGACTGACAGCCATATACCTCATGCTTATATGTATTGTCACTGCAATCTCAGTATATTTTCACTGAACTTGTGTTTAAGAAATGGATGTTTCCCAATTCTGAAGTACTTGGGCAAAAGAGACAGATAAAGGCATTAATATAATTTTGACCTGTGCAAGTAGCAGGTGTAACCTGAGCTTGACACTCGTCATTTGTAATAGTGAGATTTACTCCATGTTATTCTCTAGATGCAACAGTTACCATGGTAACTGCATCCCAGTATACACATTCTACATCACAAATACAAATGGACATTTTCTACTTAAACATTTAATTGTCAAAATTCACATTTTCTCAGGCTGGATTACAATTTACTTTGAGAATGAGCCAAACATAGTAACAAAACTATGAAAGGGCAGAAGGAAAACGCAGGCGACATAAGGTGCCATTTTTTTTTTACTGTTCTACCATATGCAAGACAAATATTTTACAATTAGAGAGCTTTATCTGCAGTATGAACAGATGATCAGTCATTGTTCAGAAACACAAACGGGCACATGTCATACCCATATATTTTCCATTTTAAATCCACATTCCTGCTTTATTGCAATTTTATCTATTATCTCAGCTAGCAGTTGTGCCCTTTTATTATTGCTCACTCTCATAATGCATCAAGTGTATGATCCTCAGACTAATTCCAAGGGAAAAAAAAAGCCTAAAACTGGCTTCATGCACAATGGAGTTTTCAGTAAATAAGCCCCTGTGGGACAAATATTACACCATGCATGAGAATCACCATGCAGCTCTCATTAAGACTAACACATGTTGCATGCCTAAATTACACAATTTGCTAAGTTACTTCTACAGGTAGAGCTGTGAACACACTATCTGGGCCAATTCTTGTACGAACAGTAGTACCTCACTATCTTCTTCAATATTATAATCTATATTTTTATAATGATTGTTACTTGGAAGCATTCATACCATTAAATTTTTTCAACTATACCCACTTTCACAGTAAAATTTAACTGAAGAGTAAAAAATTACTAATTGCAAAAGTGACTGCCTATTATTAATAATTAAGAATGTTGCAATACATACAAATTCTTTGTTAAACAGCAGTAAACCTAGAGGTTATAAACAAAATTTTTTTTTACATTTTTTTATATATTAGATGTACAGAAACATAGATACTATGAAAATACTAAAGATAATAAAATTTTTTGAAATGTTCTTTTTTTTGGACTGCCATATAGAACTATATAACAATTTTATCTGTTAAAGCTCCTGGAACAAACATAATTTTAAACAAACTTGAAACATTGAAAACCATTCATCCTCTGCAGTTTTCATATCAATCATTATGCTAGCACTGGGGTTTTTTTTAATAGATTTCTAAAGATTTTTGAAGAAAAATGGCAGATATTTAGTATTATCTATCAAGTCATAATTCCTCTCTATTAATCATAGAATAAGGGCTAAAAGAAGACACAAATCAAATTATAACAGATATTACTTGCATTTGGTTCCTAAACAGTAATATTTCACCATTGGCTTTATGATCTACTTGCCAACTGTCAAATCTTTTTTGTTTGGTCGGTTGGTTTTAGTTTCTATCTCTGGTTTTGTAGAGGGTTTAAGGAAAGAAGTCTTCTGCTTTGCAACAACTAGATTTTTATATATATAGAATAAAGGCCATTAGAAGAAAAGCTAATGAAAGTGTTTCTTGACTGATAAAGCCCAACTATTGAACATAAACATAAAACTAACACAGTTCAGTGTCTCTAATCTCATCCTGTAAATGAGAACTTTGGATTCTTACACTTGTGTGTTAAATCTCAAGAAAAATGAAGTGGATAAATATTTAAATGACAGAGAGGGGAGGAGAGAAGATTCAGCAACAGCTAGCAGAAAAGTTTATCAGGTGCTCCAGAAGATTTACAAGTCTCCTGGAGAGAAGAAAGGAGGGATACAAACACATAAAAAGAGAACAGCAGCAGCAGGTAGTAATATTTTTTCATCAAATCATGACCTATAGCTATTGAGAAGAGGGTGTGAAGTCTATGCTTGACACTAGAGGAAAATACTGGTCTTATAGATATGATCTGTTACTTCCAGATTGATCTGCATTTCTATTTTGGTCTGTTCTACAAAGTTGGGTTTTTTTCCAGGCGTTGCAAAGTGGACTGGAACTTCATTGTATGTTTGTAAATAAGATCAGCCAAATGGCTCAGGATACAGAACAGAGACACATACATTAGTTAAGGTCTGTATAGAAATGCACAATCTTAACACATGAATATGTTGGTTTTAATAGAGCCATAACTCCTCACTTTTACAGAGGAGTTTTGCACTTTTTATGTAAAAACTTTATGTAAAACTTTTACACTTTTACACTTTGGCCTTTTACAGAGGCCAAAATGATAATTCTTACAAAATGTTACTTCAGATAGATCAGATGAGGTACCATCTAAGACCTTGAGTGAGGTGGAAAGTCTCCATGCCCTCAAAAGAAGTTAACAAATGAGTAGTTGCCTCTTTCCTCCGACAGAGATTGGAGCATTAAAACTACATAATCACAAGCAATGCACAAGAAGCTCAACAAAAACCCAAGAAAAGAATTTCTAACATGAAGCAGCAAGTAACAATCTTTGCTTCAGTAGCCAAAACATGCACCTACCTTTATGAACTAGTAAATTTACATATATACACTGTGAATCTGTACCTATATAAATAGATACACATGGACATGTATTTTATGTCAACCTCAAACTATGTACGAACTTAGGTTTGGAAAAACAGGACAATAAAAATAAAAAAATCATCTGAAGTTTCTCCTTTGTCTCAAAGCCATTAATTCTGCTATAGAATCTACCCTATGCCCAGAACAGTTCTACATCTCCTTAATATGCACTTACAGATTCAGCTGCACTTGATCTTTCCCCATGTAGCCTACTTGAGCAACATCCACAATTTCACCTGAAATAAATCTTTCATTATGAAAGAAATTGTCTCAACTATCAGTATGTCTAAAGAACTACCTTGTTCACAAATAATGTTCCTTATGTTCCTATCATGTACTGCATTATGAAAGTATTTCTATGCATTTGAGTGTGCTGTAAGAAAAATTATAATTATTCTAGCTTTCTATGCTTTAATTTTATTAGTAATTCTTTTTAAAAATCATTAACAAAGGTAACCACAGGCAATACTCAATAGTACATACAAAGAATTTAAGGCATTTGCAAGTCCTACCTACCTCAGTAGCAAACTGCTGCAATCCACCAATATTAATTGGTCCTTCCTCAGTAGCATACAAATTGCAGCCACCAACACAGAGATCTGATGTTGGACACACCATTCCGCATGTCAAGCCAAGTGGATTGTCAGAAAGAATCATTTTGGCAGCTCCATAGTAGTTCTGAAGGAAAAAGAGAAAGGAAAAAGAAATAAAGACGACAGTCACATACCAATGAGGCAAAAATTCAAACCTTTAAGAGAGAATTTTGTAGCAGAATAATATATAAGCATATATGTTAAATAACATTGACATAACTTAAATGTATTCATATATTATGCAAAATTCCATCAAAGACACTGAGAAGAAAGTCAGCAAATACTGTGGATTATGCAAAGGTAAACTTTTGGTTTTTAGCTTGCAAAGTGGTTAAAAGCATCTTCAGTCTGAAGTGGTTGTAGGATTTTTAATAGCTTAACAAATCTACCTTCAAAAACTACAATTGCTGCATTATGTGCTTGAAAATATTCTCTCAATTTCTAGGTCAATTGGGCAGTAGATGAGTTGCAGCCCTTGCTATAGGTATGACCAGAAAGTCCCAGTTACATTACCAGTTCTTTACAGCTCAGGAGTGAAAAGTTTATTTTACACATCTGTGCACACCACCTCTGTGGATATTCCTGTCCTTCACACCAGACCAGTAGTGCCAATTTTCCCAGACACATGATGAGAAGACTTTCCATGTAGCCACCTGCAGATATTGCACTACTGAATTCTTTTTGATCTCTTTTTTTCTCAACACACAGCGATCAGGGCAAACACTTATTCTCCTGTTTCCTTAAATCATAAACCAGGGAACTAATTAAAGATGTTACTTACAATTCACAACTTCAAAGATTCTCAACATTCAGTGGACTTCTTCAGAAAAGCAATGGTCACCAGCTATATGAGAAGTAACAAGGATTCTTGCCATACTAAGGAATGGACTTCAGCAAGTTCCCAGTGTCTGATTCCATGAGAAAATAACCTCTGGTGATTTTTTTCAGTTGGATAATTGTCTTAAGAAGAAGAATCAGAGGAAATGCCAGGAGTGACCTGAAGTGTCATTTAAAGGGAGAGAACTACATTTGGCAGTTCTACACCTACATTATTGAAATCATATTGCAACTAAAGCAAACTTTTTACATACTGTATTTTCTTGTTTGTTGTCAGTATAGAAGTGTAGTTAATAATAGTGTGTAGTTCTTCCTTAATTTAATCACTTTTCCCACCTCCTCTAAAAGTCCCATCAAGTCCAGGAAGATGGGTTAAATCTAGAGTTACCTCTTAAGACCAGAAGGCAATTACAGTACCCTTAGAATTAGTACATGGTTGAAGTTCCACAAAAGTTTCTTTAGTGACAAATTAATGCTTGATCTAATTTCGGCATTCTACACACTAGAAGTAACTGAAAGGCTGAAAAACAGTATATCCTCCTGCACCACCTTTTCTATATTCCAGTCCTCAGTAATCATAACCAATAAGAAACTGTTTTTTATAGCAGGTACCTTCACTTGTCCTGTCCTGTCCCAGGGCAGCTGACCCAGAACAGAAAGAAGATGTTCAAGCACTGTGAAGTATTTGGTCATAGCAGACCCTGCGTGCAATGCCTGGGACTTTCTATCAGGCAGGCTAATGCACACAGAAGTGTTTATTCAAAGCAAGTACTTTGCCACATAGAGTAAAAATCCACTCAGGAAAAAAAAGAGCAGTGTCAAGATCTGACAATTTAACCAACAGTGGGTGACAAGAATTTGGTTTGGGAGGTTCAAATTCACTACAGGCATATTATTAGACTGAGCATGCAATTCTCTAAAGTTAAAGCAGATCATACAGACACATACAGAGACTACCAAGAAAATGCCAACATTGAAGAAATGTATTTGCAAATGTAACTGGACTCCTTGCTTACAGCTGCTGGTCTACTGCAGACCACAAGCCTCTGTCCATCACCTGGAAACACAAACCAGCTGCCTAGGCGTACTTTCATGTGATTTCCTTAGATAGTATTAAATCCCACTGAAATTCTAATCCTGGCTGAACAGGCAACCCCTTTATGCAACTGTTCTGAAGAACCTTCAGCTATTTCCCCTGTGGTGACATTTTATTATCCCCAATTCTCATTTGTTCCAATGCAAAGGAATATTAGTTAAAATGGAATTGTACGTATTAGCAAACAGTTTTGCTCTTCCAGATTACTATGCTGTTTTGATATTAGAGATTATTAGGGATACTTTAAAAAACCTGTAAAGACACTGCAAGCTAAATTTGGCAGCAAATTACAGAAGTCCAGTTATATTGGAAATGTCACTGACACAAATTTGAAGACAGCAGAGGTGAAACTCAATGCAGGAGACCCACATCTTTCCGAAGCAGCAATGAGACCAGCCTAGTAACCCTGCAGCATCCTGAGTGGCATTAGATGCCTGTTCCTCAGGCAATTGCATCTAGCCATTCCTTTCTTCTACTCTAAAGGAATAATTACAAATTAGTACTGGTTCTTTTCCTCACTAACTCAAAGACAAAATGGTTTTCGATGAACTTTTGTTCTCTTTTATCTTTCACTCATATTAGACTTACAGTTTTCCTTTCTGTGTTGTCTAGTGTCATTACATTTATTATCTCCAACTCTGGTTCAATGAAAAACAAAGTGCATTTCCATTTAAGCAACTTCATTAAGGATTTTCTACATTTTTCAGCTTTGTAATTAAAATCTATATACAGACCTAGTTATTATGCCTAGAAAGCAAAGCTGTTAAATATTCCTTTTTTAAAATGAATTTTCTTACAAATATAAAGTATATTCTCACACTTGAGCTATGCCAATACAATGTTAACACAGCTAGCACATCTTTCTTCTTTTGAAAGCTCAAACCAAACTTTGAGCACAGCTCTGTTACAGAAAGACAGGGCACAAGTAACTTCAGAAAGGCCCAGGGTCAGCACGGGTATAGGACCAAGATCACAGTTTGTTAAGGGGATATGTAAGGAAATCTGCCTCAGAACACCATATCAGAGTTTGGTAAGAAGGAAGCTGGAACTGAAGACTCAAAGGGGGTAAGGCCAGCTGCTGCTGAGCTCTTACTTTGGGAGAAACATGACTGAGTATATGAAGGTAGAGACATGCTTTGGGAAGCCTTGAGAAATTGCTGTCATGATCATGGGTTCCTGCAGCTGGCACTAGCAGTGGTAGCACCTGAGAAAAAAGGAACTGCATTCTCTTCAAATAAGAGTATCAAAAACTATATAGTACACATTGCCATGCTAAATATTAAGACCTTAAATAAATTCTATCAATCAGCATATATCTTCTAGTCTTAGCACATAAAATAATTTTAATGATAAATTAAAAGACAGTCACATTTGAGAACAGCAGGGCAAGGCTACTGCACTGCTTCATTAGTGTGTTCCAACTGTGCTAACGTGGGCACCTCTAGAGAAGAACTGGAAGCACAAGTTCGGACTGGACTTGGTTTCATGGTCTGCCAAAACATAATTACTCTCTGTTAATTTTATCACAGGTAAACTTACAACATTGTCTCAGAAGAGCCACAGTTCCCTTATTCTCTTTTACCCTCCTGAAGATGAGTGTAAGCCCTGTTCCCATTGCCACTGTTCCTGCTCTCTACCAGCGAAAGGATACTGCCGTGTGCTGCTACCACAACTGTGCAGTGGTGCAAGAGCAAGTCCGCCTGCAGAGCTCCTGCCTGCCAGGGCACACTGCAGTGTGGAGGCTGGGCTCTGGGCAGGGCTTCATGTGCCTGGCTCTGAGTTGCTTCATCTCTTTGTCCTTCTATTCTATACAATAATTTATCCTATCTTTACTGTGCAATTATCTAACATACCAAAAAATTAGAAAACTCTCTTATAATACTTGACAAAAACTGATAGATAAATGCAGTAAGTCTAGTAAGTTACACAGAGTGGTGTTATGCAAACGGTGTTACAAAACTACAAAGCATGGTAGGACAATAATAAATGAGAGTTTGTAGTATGTGTATAGTACCTTAAATGTTTAGTTACACAAACATATTTTGCTTATGCAGCTTTATCCTTTTTAAGCTGAAAACATGTATAGATCATTATATCTATCAATGGCATTAGAAGTAAAATATTCATAGAATATTCACATTTTAAAAAAAAATTGATCGCTTCATTTCACAAAACTAGTATGTAGTAGGCTGCATATAAAATAGACATACAGAGACGCAGACCTGGCAGGCTGGTAACTACGCACATGCTGTACATGAGAAAGGATCATAATTAAAGGGAGGCTGGCTTCATTAAAATGACACAGTTACTTCAGTGCATGGAATAATGGAAGCTACCTTAACAGTCTGGGGTAATTTTTGTAGATGTTTAAATAATAAGATGACTCAGTTGGCCAGTTACTTACAGACGTCACAGAGGAAGCAAGTCTAAAACTAGAATGTTTCTGAATTTTTTAATGAGATAAATGTCTGCTTATGCCTTTGTTCATAGAATTTTTTTTCCTGTGCATTTCCATGGAAATAAATGAATCTAACTAGATGTTTTGTGGTTTCCTACAACAAAATGTCAATAAATACTACATTGCTAACATAGGGAACAAAAAGAAGCCTTAAACAGATATCAATAATCAGAGGAAAACAGACAGAAGAGGATCTCCACATGTATCATTTGGAAGCATTATATAATTTGCATGCAAATTAGACTGTTTTTTGCTTGAAAAAAATCTATTAAAACACATAGGATCAATACTGAGAGACCAGAAGAAATTGCATTTACTACCAGGAAATGCTTATAGCATTCTTTCTTTCAATTCAATTCAAGAGCTTTTTAAATAAATTCATTATGGTCTTTTGATATTGTAGTTTTCTAAAAAAAATTAAGAATATGCATTATTATGCTTTATGTAATAAAAATTAATACATTGACTTTATCAGGATTTGGATACATTGTGAATACTTTAAAAGGAAAGAAGAAAACCGTCAATTTCTTTTTCATCTGGATTTCAGTTTAAAAAAGGGAGACATAGCAAAATGCATGGAAAAATATCACTACCTCCTCCTATTCTAGCTCATGTTCTGCAATAGCTTTAAAATTTACTCAAGATGTATTGGATTAAAACATTTCCACAGACCGAAGAGTCACTTTTTAAAGTA